ACTCCTCGAAGATAACCACTTGGCAACCACGCCCAAGAAATATAACTATATCTAAATTATCTAAAACAATAATACACATACATTTTTCTTCACGCAACAGCAACATACAAATTGACATGAAATTGAAAAGGTTGTCCGAAATAATAATAATATATAATAATAATAATAATTTATTTCATTAAAAGTTTACATTTTACAATCACAGTATCAGGAGTCTCCTTTTAAGCAAAGCAATGCCTGTGATAGGAGACGCTCTTCTATAACCATAGCTTTCTAATGTATAAATTAATCTAAAATGTACGTAAAATATTTAAATATTACAAAAACTCAAATTAATTTGACTATTGATTTTTAACTAAGCTAAGCTAAAGTAAACAAAAATTTAATATTTATGTAGTTTAATATTTATTATGTGTAAAGGGATACAGTGCCAATTTAATTAGTATAGATATTTTGAGTTGTATGGGTGTAATTAATGTTTAATGTGTGAATATATAGTTAAAAGTAAAAGTGATCAAATGTGTATGTATGTATGTGTATAGGACATGTATGTGTGTTAATGTATATAGATGTATTTTAGAAAATAACTATTGTATGGATCTCAGAAGATTCTCTGTTTCCTCGTAATTAAGTAATTTCAACCACTTATATAATCGGTTTTTGCATTCATAATAGTTTTTATTAAATATATTTAATTCTTTGTTAATTTTATTATATAGATATGATGAGCGTCTATTGAACTGCATAGCGGCAAACGTTGTCTTAGTTGTAGGAACCTGTACTACATAATCCCTCCTTCTTTTATTTTCTATTTTACTGTCATATGGTAATGTCTTATGCATTTTAAGAACAATCTGCAATATATATAGTTTTCTGACGGATAGTATATTACTTAAGATATAAATATTTTCTGTTGAATAGTCCATTTTTTTAAAATACATGACTTTAATCAAAGCTCGTTGTGCTCTCTCAAGCTCTATAAATTTTGTCTTTAAATTGAAATATGAGTTGTGTTAAAGTTACTCGAAATAAAATATTTAGTAATATTAATAATAGTAAAATAAAAGAAATCAAATTAACGTGAATGCTTTTCGCTTCCATATTTAGGGACTTTAATTACAAAAATCATAGTAAGAAATTCAAACATTTCAGTAAAAATTTATTATCGATAAACATCAGTCATCGTAAATGAACATCACTATATTTGAGTCTAGAAATTTCATCATAATAGAAATAGTAACTAAAAATGCAAATAGGCGGTGGAATGTTATCTCACTGGTTTTTAAAATTTTTGTTTTCATTCCAATTTTGACAAGGTGTATCGCTACAACTTGGCATTTTCATTTTACGAGAGATCTTGTATGTACAACGATCGCCATGTCACTGTGGCGATGTTTGTAGGCGTGTCACTTCGTTGTGATCATACGAATTTGACAGGCAATCCAACTTACAGGCTTAAATAGGATTGCTCTAAGAGCTCATAGGCCCCAGGCGGCCTACAATAAGCTTATAAACAGCCAGCCAAGTTCTATGCAATTCACTTGACGTGGTAAAACTGAATTGCTTAAATTGTATCATGACCTACGCAAAGTTGAACGGGAACGATGAATTTTACTTTTTAAACGTTAATTATTGTCTCTGGCTGGCTAGCTGACATCTAACAAGAGCGAGATGGAACTACATACTAAATCATATGAAAGAAATAGACAGATGTACTATCCTGGGAGCGTTCAAACGATATTAACCGATTGTGTTCAAAATGAGAATAATTATATTTTTTTATTAATTTTATTATTGATTAGACTTATTATATTGTTTTGTAATATCAACAACTTTTCAATCATAATTTACAATTTGTCGTACGACAAAATTACATGTCATGTCTAGTCATTATCATTGAAATTAATAAGGTGAGTTTGTAATTTGATAACATAATTGGTACGTATCTTGTATTCGTACATTTTCATTGATTGCATTAAAGTCAAATTTGGAACTATTTAAAAGTTAGTGATTTTCACTAAGTCACTAAAATTATTAAATGTTAAAAATTCCTTTTAAATATTGCATTAACATTCATGCTAATAATTTATCAACAATAGGTACTTTAAAGATTGGAAACTCGAACTGAAATTTTTAAAAACACGTTCAATAGTATTTATTTTTAACTGCCTCTGTGGCCGAACGGTTACCATGCCGGACTGCCACGCATAGGTCCCAGGTTCGATTCCCGGGCCGGGAGAAATATTTGTATGGCTTACATTTATTTCTCTCGTGAGTTTGGGTGTAATTTGTGGTTGTCTATGTGTGTGTCCATGGCACCCGCGACACAGGGTTTCCCTAGTGCGGGGCTATGTTGAGTGTGTGTGTGCGTTATTTTATTTGGTATTTAATTTACTACGTATTATATCATCCAGCATCTATTTCCGATTCTGAACTTGAATTACCACCAGAACTCGAATGTTTGCAATTTCTCCCTTCTAATCAAAAAATCACTAGGGATGACACAGTTTTACAAATAATTAACTACTAGTCATTTTATGCGAATTTTAGGTGATTTGAAACTTCTGTTGAATAATATTCATTATAAACATGGTTTCAAGATTTGGTATTATCCATTCCATAATCTAGTTGAATTTCGTAGGATAATATTTAAATTGTGGTAACTTGGTAAGAGAGATGAAAACCCTAAAAAACATATGTTTTTGTTTTTTGACATTTATTCTACATCGAATTTGTATGTCGTCCCGTGCGAATGATATAGAACAGGATTTGTTAATCTTTTTCTACTCAAGGACCCCGGTCAAAATTTCAAAAAGCACATGGACTTTTTCCGAAAAGACGAAGAAGGTGAAAGGTTTGTGGGTACTGGCTGAATAATTTTCCGAATAATTTCAAATGGTGAAAATTTTTCCGGAAAAATTTATAAATATTTGTATGGCTTACATTTATTTCTCTCGTGAGTTTGGATGTAATTTGTGGTTGTCTATGTGTGTGTCCATGGCACCCGCGACACAGGGTTTCCCTAGTGCGGGGCTATGTTGAGTGTGAGTGTTATTATAAAAAAAATTGACAATTGGCTATACAATGTATTGATTTGCATTCCGCCATATTTACAGAGGTATATCCTATATCCGAAACTGAACCCAAATGGGTTCAGTACACTAAAAAAATTGATCCAGAGGTCATTGACTTGCACTACACGTCACAGGTACCGGTAACCATTTGAACAAAGACCAATGCGCAGAAAGTATGCATTTTAGATCTACGTTCCGTTGACATCGCGCATACGTTCTAGTTTCTCACGAAATGCCACGTGGTTTGGTATGTAAACAAGAGTTAGTGCAAAAAAAACCGCTACAAGGTTCACCAGATCCTGCATTACCATCAAGTGCGTTCTTATGGCATGATGTGAAACGTTTAGTTTACGCAGATTATTATAGATTATCGTCTCTGGTTTCTTTCTGCTTTTTCTGTTGTGAAGAATATGCTACGTTGAAACAAAACTCTGCATATCTGTTGCTGGCTCAATCAACACGCTGTATAGCCTAAAATGATAACAAATAATTATGAAACTGAAAATATAATAATAAAACTTAAACAAAAATTTCTTAAAAATGTAACAAAATCTAAAAAACGTAGTCACGGAGTAACTTTTTTTGAATTGCTTATTTTTACAGATTTGCATGGCAAACGGCACGTCATGGTACGATTTTGCTAGGAAAGAAAAGGTGAACGAGTTTCGAATGAGGAACGTAAACTGCACGGAAAGTGAATTGTTATTTGTGAGGTCATATTACGTCATAGGATTGCTCTAAGTTCTCATAGTAGGCATCCAGTTCTGCACCTCTGAGTGCAGAGACCTTTTCCTGTCTTCCACTAATCGTTCTACTCTATTACAAAACTTTCACATTCTTTTTTATACATAAATATATTATTTGCTTTTTATTTCTCCACTTGTATTTTGTAGTTCTCTGCCCCTTCAAAACTATCACACGTTATTAATTAGGACCTAATCGGCCAATATAAATAAATTGAATGAAATTAAATTAGATTGAATTGAGTTAAATTGAATTGGATTGAATTGAAGTGGTTAGAATTTGAATTGAATTAAATTGGTTTTGGTTTGGGTTTTTACGAGTGGCGTCCCTGTCCCTATAGGGTCCTGGCAGAATACCAGCGTCGCGGGCAGCCGCGTCCTTTATTCTAAGTCAGCGCCTTTTCATTGCCATGACTTCTAAGATGATACTAGTAGAATATATTTCTGTGTTACGTCTAAGTTAAAGTCTGTATCAAGTGTCTGTGTGTATTTGTCATGGTGGTGAATAAAGATTTTATCTATCTATCTTTCTATCTATCTAATATATGATACTCTGTATAAATAAAACATTTATTTTTATATTTCAGGATCCCAGCACTAGCACACCAAGTAAGGTTGGGATGTGGTTACATGACACCTGTCTGAGACATAGCCTGCAACTAACGTGTTTCTCTCAATCAGTGCCCCAAAAAAGAATGATATACCTACTAAAGATATTGAAACCAAAATCACTTAACACTACTGACAAAAGTTCCTAAAAATGAACCTTGGGAAATAATTGATAAAATAATAATTACAATTACGTAATTGTTCGTGAATACAATATTTGTGTATATTTTTCAAGACAGTATTTTATTGCCTAGCAAATAATATATGTGCTATTCAGCTAAGATAATTCGTATAGGTATTAATCATTCAAAGTAATGCGTACGGTAAAACCCTTTCGTATATAGCCGCTCACGCGATACACGCAGCCGTAGACGCAATCACACCTAAAGGTGCCGGTGATGATTTTATACCGATTTATCGGATATCGAAGTTATAACAGGTAAAAAAACTAACATTAATTGCTATTTCGGTAACTACTCTAGCAAACCATAAAGTTTTTAATGCCTGGGTCTGTCATTTAAAAAAAATAAACAACTTCAAAAATACGTCACGACAATCGTGTGTGTTATTGTTTGGGCTGGTGGTTTCGGTGTTTATTTATTGAAAACATACCGTAAGTAGCGTTTTTTAAATTTACCCTGAATATAAATGTTTATAAACTGTACTTTAAGGAGTAATTTCATGGTAAACGTTAGAACAACTCAAACGGAATATTATCATATTTATCCAAGTACACCAAAAATTTCATTAGTGCTTTTTAAGTGCAGGATTTGCGGTGTATTATTGCATTTTATTTGAGATGTTTTTGTTGGTAGTACGGAGGATATTTATTTAGCAATGCAGAATAATAATTTTTATTTATAAAAACTTGTCTTTAAACTGAATGCTTTTCTAATTTGCGAAACCAAATAGCCGCCATTTTGCGGTAGGAGGAGCGCATCGCGTGAGCGGGTAGAAGCCGACCCACCACCACGCGAACGCACTGCGGTCGTACGAGGGATATGACGTAACCTATAGCCTGGTACCGACGACGGTGCGCGACTCTCTTCGCCTTCTCTCCACCAAGTCTCGTCAATGGCAATCATGGTATCAACATTGTGACGATCACTTGCTACCAGAAATTCCTCATGGCGTGTGCCCAAAGAGCCCACATTGTGACCTTGTGTTTTTGACGACGTGCATTAAGGAGACCTATCAATACTTGTGATTCATTATCCAAGCGTCAAAAAAGCTAATTGAGTACAGCCTGTAGAAGCTGGGGTTATAAAGTTGATATAGGTTAAGTTTATAACGTTGTCCTGTACTTTGCTTCAGATGTTTGTTCGTAGTAGCAGAAAACAACAAATTTTCAGTTTGTTCCTAAAAATAATAAAGAACTTCTCGAATATTCCCAAGTCTGCCAAACTCTGCCACATTTAATATAACATATCATGTTCTGCAGCAATGAAAATGAATAAAAATTAAATCTTCCCAAATGGCAGAAATCTGGTCACACAAACAAATGGTCACACTGTTCTCAATATCAATGTGATATTGACATTGACAAAAGGTCTCTTGTCAAAACGTTCCTTTGCAACTTTCATTAAATATTGTCTAAATATTTTTGTCACATTATGTTTTATTTTTTGCTATAAGTCATTACTGTTTAACTGATTATTTCATTAGGTATTTCATAGCTTTAATGTTTTATGTGAGTACTATAAAATAACCAATACTTCAGGTGGGTAAACATTCAATCATGCTTAAAATGAAACGAACGTACAAAATTTTTACCTAATCGATGGTCGAACTGAATCAATTGCGTTGTGTTCTTGCATCTATGCTAAAATAGAATGTTTTACATTTTTTTTATTCCCGACTTCTAAAAATATATAAAAATATATTGATAACTTGGCATAAACTAAAACGCAAAATTATACTAACAAAGTCCATCAACTGCTCTTCGTCGTTATTGGGGCAGCTTTCGTCATTCTGCTTTAAATACATTAAAATTACGATGCAATAAATTATTTGTTTACCACATCGCGATTCCTCAGTGGAACGCCGAGCTTAGTGGCACAGGCCAATGCCAAATGTATTGGATTATTCCCAATCTCTTGAGGCAGGCCGCGCCTCAACTACTTTCGTGATGCCGGGGTTACTTCCAGTGCCACTTGAACAGTCTCTTCCCCTTTATCGAGACGGTTATCACAGTAAAACACGGCGGAGCTGCACGACTGATTCAGGAGTTGGCGAAATGTTCGTGTGTGAGGGCCGCATGAACTCTTCAAAATACGTTAACGTCCTGGAAAGCGTTGCTGCCCTCATTTTCAACCCTTTTTGGCGATACAAATATGGATGGCGTTAAGTTCCAGTAGGATAACGCGCCGTGTCATAAATCTGCCTATACTATGACACGGTTTCAAGAAAAGAACATTGAGCTTCTAGAGTGACCTGCCCAGTCTCCGGACCTAAACCCCATAGAACATTTATGGGGTTTATTAAAGCGCAACGTCAGGCGCCACTCAATAAACACAATGGAAGAACTAAAACGCCGTCTGCGCCAAGAATGGAACGCTATACGTCCTGAAGACTGTAAAAATCTCGTCCGCTCTCTACCAAAAATAATTTCTGCCGTAATTAAGGCAAAGGGTGGACCTACAAAATATTGATTTCTATTGAATAAATGGTAATATTAACATGTATAAATTGTTTCAAATTATTCCACTTTCATATTCTCCAAAAAACTGTAAGTTATCATGGGTGCTCAATACTTTTGGCCACGGCTGTATATGAAAATCCGCTGTTTTAAATGAAAATCGAGGGATAGATTGAGAATCTAAGGTCTTATGACATGACAGTTTAAAATTATAAGTATACCTCTACATATATTGCAGCGGTCATAAAAAAAAGACCGCTGCAGATGCATAATTGATACATAGATAGATAGATAAACACTTTATTCACTGATATAACACAAATACAGATTAAGCATAAAAGAAAAACAAAACGTGATTGTCATAGCAGTGAAACGGCGCTGACTCAGCATATGCCAAAGTTTCCTAAGGCGCTGGTTTTCAGTCAGAACCAACGAGAGGGATTAAATTATTTGAAAGCAAAAATATAACGACTATGAGTAAAGTTATACATTGACAATAATAATATACATAGTAAAGTGTAAATAGTGCATCTAAAATAACCTGTTTGACATGTAAGTGCATGCTCATGCACAGCACATGTGAATATAATTACAGCTGTAGTAGTAAGTTATGACTGTAAACAGGATTTAATGTTGTGTAATGTAATTAGTATTATAATATAATTATACACATAATAAGAATAGATCAAAGCAACAACAAAATTCGATTCTAGACAGACTACGTTAAAGAATAAAAACAGATTTTTGAAGTGAGAGTAGGTGTTGCCGGTACAGTGCTTTGAATTTGGGTTTGGATGACTCGTTGCGTATAGGTGGTGGAATATTATTCCAGCACTTTGAAGCCGAGTATTTGAAACTACCTCGAAAAGCTGCAGTTCTATGTTGTGGTACCATAAGAACACATGATCGGACAAATCGCTCTCTGTAGCGTACATTAACACTAGATGACCACATTAGTTTTTCATAAAGATATTCAGGTGTTCTAGTTTTTACTATATCGAATAAAAGTCTTGCATACAGGAGATTTTGACGAGTCACTATATTTAGTAGATTTGCAGCGTTGAGATAAGGAGTGACGTGAATACGACGGGGTATAAAAAAAACAAAATCTGGCACATGCATTTTGGACACGCTGCAGAAGTTTGTGTGTTTTAGACAAAAGGCATGGACCATACGTGAGGCATGGTACATACGACTTGATACAATAGTTGACCTTAGATAATATCAATGCTTCACATGGAGAAATGCGCAAATCAACACTGAGAAATGGTCGAATACCGTAGATCACTTTTAACCTATTGAAGCAACTGCGACTACTTCTTCGTCTTCTCCTTCTTCTTCTTCGTCTTCTCCTTGTTCCTCTTCGTCTTCTTCTTCGTCTTCTCCTTCTTCTTCTTCGTCTTCTCCTTCTTC